ATCACAATGATATTCCTACCCCACCTCCGACAAAATGACCGGCCAACTCAATGCCGTGCTACCCTCCGCGGGTTGCTAAGGACACCCTCCACAAAAAAAACACCGAGAAACTCTTGAAGAGGATGGAGAAAATGCTTTGGTCGGCCTGGTGTGTCATGAAGGTCGGAAGGTCCTGCCACGTGGCGCGGTAGCACCGGGTTTTTTCTTCTACCGGGCTCGGTCGGCTGCGCCGGTGTTGACGCACATCACGAGAAAACATGCACGCATCCACAGTGACTGGTGGCCGAACTGCCTCGCCCACCCGAACTGCCTCCTCCACTTCTGGGCCACCTGTGGTTCACAGACGGAGGAACAAAAAAACGCAAACTGCTGGGTGATCCATGCCCAGCTGGGTACCGTGCTCTATGTGAAGCCCATGAAGCCTTATAAGCAATCACTGTGGGCGAGAAATTGGCCTTTCTCACACACAGCGAAAGGCTTGGCAGGCTTAAATAGCAGACCTATATAGCAAATCTTAGCACCGTCACCTTCAGGTCAAAAGCTGCCATCCGAGTCCTACAGGGATTCGCCCTCCAATGCTTACCATCTTTGCATGATGCTCCCCAGAAGTTGAAGTGAGGAATTGCTAGATATTGACGGGCATCATTCTTGTCCAAGCAAAGAAGAAAAACTAACAAACTAGAAACTGTCGGTGTTGCATCTCTAGAACGCCTCAACGGGTGCGAAAAGAAGCAATCTTGCACCAAACTCCACTGGTTGTCCGTCGCGCACCGCCCAGCATGTCAGAAACAGTTGGAACATGCAAACGTGCCCACTATGGTAGGGTCCTACTTGTTGCATATATAAAGCAGGCCAAGAAGTAAAGTCTCCTTAGATCCCAGCCAATACAAACGTCGAAGAGACACCTTGTACATCCCGAGGTAAGCACAAGGGTCCACATCCTCATAGCAAACCATATGCTGATCATTGATTCATGATGGAAAATCACACTTTCCCAGCATTCAGGCCATTGAAAAAATGCCACCGCACAACCCAGTATTTAGTCCATTCACGGGCATAGAAGTCGGAAAGCCTTATACCGTATACCGACAAGCAAAATGAACAAAAACTCTCCGTCATAGGCAAGCAGGCGGGCAAAGGACATCGCCCAGGTTGAAGGTACACTCCCTTCAACGAACGCCAAAGCTGCAGCCGCTGCAGGTCAGGTTCGGAGCAGGCAGCAGGGTTCTGTGCGGATCTGATTGGGTGCTTGGATCCGCACCTGGAGTCTGACGCGCTTGAAGGCCGAGTAAGGTTTCTTCATCCTGCGGATGACCAGATTTCAGCCACGAAACCGCTCATGAAACCCATCATATATCATGCAGGAGAGCACCCACTTGCAAGCAAAGGCTCTGGTCAATTCCAGCAAGACAAATGTCACAGGAAAACCAGGCAACATGGGGACACCAGCTGTGGAAAAAACACAGTTGCCTGAAATACTAACCTGGTTGGTGGTGTCAACTCAATTGAACATATTATTCAGTGGGCTCGATCATCACAAGTAAAGGTTTAAAAAACAAAAAAATATGTAAAACATGGTGAAGCCACGACTACCCAGTACTATCCAGTACTGTACTCATTCCTTGTTGGGAAGTGTCTGGCTTCCCTGAGATGTCTTTGATCTTGGCATGGCGCAACCTGTGCTCCAACTCGCCGGTCCTCACACAAGCGCAGCCAGTTCTCGACGAACGCCATGACTGCCTCGATGGCACACACCGTTGACTCAAAGCGTTGTGAGGGCCATAGGCGCCATAGGCACATGGCCGTGGGTCAAGACTGGACACCCTGGTTGACCGAAAATGAGCCGAATAGACGACGTTTGGGAGGTCAACCTACCAGGGTCGAGTTGGCTATACAGCCACATCGGGTCTGCCGATCAGGTCCGTTTTCTTCGCACCGAGCACCGTTTCTCCGACCGCGAGCGCACCGGGTGCGCGCACCGAGTATACCGCACCTTGGTCTTCCTGAAAGCCAGAAAGTAGGCGCCCAGCTGCGGCCGGTCCAGAAGCGAATACCTCCCCCAGGGTAAAACGACCATTGCACCGACCAAAAGGCGGTCGTTTCTAGCTGGTTGACGTCAACAAAAATAACGGTGCGTTCTTTGTTTTGCTTTATGTGTCATTTGTTTTAAGATCTTTCCCTTTAACGCCTTTAACCTACCGTTACGTTACACCCTCTTTCTTTGGACCTTCGCTTCTTCGATTTGTACGTCTTTTGCTTCTGTGCCCTGACACAGGGGCATCTGATCAGGTTTTTTGGCCGTCAAGCCCCTGGCCCTGCCTTGAGGACACATTCCTCAGCTACCAAAGATGTTTGAACAAAAATCCTTATTACACAATATGCATCAATTGATGCCACTGAAACTTGCTCATTTAGCTAGCTCAAGAGCAAAATAACGAGGTTTGTTCACTCTGGGTTAAAGCTGTCAAGCTCACTCTGGGCGGAGGAACTCCGCCGTCTTTTCACACCCAAAACCGCTCACGTCCGGTGTTCTGGAGGGACCGGCGTGACCAGCTGTGATGGTACTCCAATGGAAGACTGATCACCTAAAAAACGGACCACCTATGACTCCACGATATCGTTCCAATAGGGAGAGAGTCTGCCAAATCTATCCCAAACACTCCATGGGACTGCCATATATGCCACCCCATTGACCCCCCCTGGCACCACCCCAACTGATCGGCATATATGGCATACATGGAGTGTCTGGGTATTGGAACGACTCTCTCTCTCTCTCTCTCTCGGAATCCGCGTCTCGAGACTCCCGAAACGCAGCCGGACGCTGCCGTCACACGCTGGATGGACGGTTCGCTACGTAGTTCCCCTTTACAGATGTCATACGCAACGATTATTTGCCGGCTGCCCAGCTAGACCAAATAGAGGAGCAGTCCCAAGAACACATGGTTCATCATGGTTCCGTGTGAAAGGACTATCCTGGCCGACCGACGCTCTGTGACTGAATGTCCCTGATGAGATTCAAAGCCCGTAGATGAGCTTCTGAATCACTAAGATGGAAGTGGAGCATAGGCCCGTAGACATTTTCCTTCACAAACACGTGACTTCCCACTTCCGACTCAGAGAGTGCAACGAGGACCCGAGGACTTATACTGCCTAGGCACATCCGCAGCAGTGTCAGCTGACTGGTCCAATCCGATTCTAGGCACTGCTTCAGTCTGAGTGCCAGAATGTCAGACTCCTGGACGACGTGTGGACCGCACCGGAAACCACTGCCATGCCTCTCATACCAAGCTATTATCAACTTTCTACCACACATCTCATTTTCTTGGTTGGCATCTTGTTGGTTAGCCTGGTTAGCACTGCAAGAAAGCCAGGTTATACATTGGAAGGCTCTCCCTGCTGGAGTGGCCCAAAGAAGGGGTCTCACGCATCTTGTTCCTTCAGCTCGTCTATTGGACACCCCTCAACCCATCCCTTTGATCCCCCTCAAGTCATGCAGCACCGCCCGCCTCCAAAGCTTCATGCAGCACCGGCCGAGGGTCGGCATGCCTGGGCGAGGCGCCGTGGTCTTGCTGAACTGCCGCACTCGGAGAGAGCGAAGGAGCAAAGGAGAACTGAAAAACAAAGTCATGCTCCAAAGCACATCCACGCCCCATGAAGTCGGACTTATATGATACTTAGCTATGGGGCCAACAAACAAATCCACAACAAAGATCTCTCAATCATCTATTACTATAAAATAATCTATTGTATAATGATCTGTTACACACACACATATATATATATATATACACACGAAAAGGGTGCATAATACTCATGGCAGGTTTTCCTATCACCTCCAATCCGCTCCAATCCGCTCGTGTCGCTGGCGGGCGGCAAATAGTTCCCAGCGTCGACCCACAAGACCACGCCCGTGTCCCATGGTACAGCGGGGTCCTGGACGACCGGCGCTGTCAAGCGAGGAATCCGACCTCTCACCATGTGAAGTGGCGACAAAGGAATCACGACTACCCTACTTCTAGTCCCACAAGAACTAGAAGGCATCAAAATGATGCATCCTAATTACCCTTTCTCCTACCCTTTCCATGATGCCATTTCGAGTATTTCGATCCCTTGCAATGGTTCCCACACCCATCATGGTGAGGTGAGAGCAAGGACGCCAAGCTCACGGATCATTCATCCTCATTTCCTTTCCACACCAGAAAGGGCTTCGATGGGTCGGATGCGGGATGGGTCGGAGGGGTCGGAGATGTCTCCTGCAAGGTTCTCAGCACGACGTATGGCTTCCAAAGCCACCAGCCAGCACCCCTCTTCCTGAGCCCAGAAAAAAGCAGCCAACCGGCCCTGTGCAACAGAAAACGACGAAAACCGGCCCTTGGAAAGGAGCACAAAGGAGGTTGAGCGGCTGAGAAGAGGATTGAGAAGCCTATAGCTGGATAGATAGATATGATAGATAGATCTAAACTATATATAATGATATATAGATATGTATTTAATATATCTGCCTGAGGAGCTGTCCCACCAGCCCAGCCCTGGGTCCAAGCTTCTGTGAGAGTACCTGGGAATTCTTGGCCACCCAGTCAGGTCCCAAGTCTTGCTTGCCTTGGCCAGGTGTAGGTCCCCGGCACGGAACGACATATCGGGCCTCCGGTCGGGGGTGAGTCTGGATAACGAGCGGAACGAGCGTTGGGCACCCCAGAGAAGCAAGGCCTCCACTTCCTGACTTCCGTAGAGTCATCAGCAAGCAAAAGAGTCTCTCCACGAGCTAGTGTCATTCAAATGCTCTTGGAGCTTATTGTTTGATATCACTCGTATAACTTACCGGAGCAACACGCAAAAGCCATGGCAGCCACGGAGATCCGTCGTTCGCTGGAGATCCGTCGTACTCCATGGGTTGACCTTCCGACCGAAGCTTCCACTGAGACGAGGGTCTCACCCATGTTGTTTCGATTAACCTACCCTGAGTTTCCATATGTGTTGAATGGTTTCCATATGTTTCCACATCAAGCATTGCAAACAGAAACCGGTTCTAAAGCAATTTCCATCAGGTCACCATAGGACCGGGCTTCATCCACGCCCACGCGCAAGGCTTGGTCACGATTTCTCTTCAGCGACTTGGCACAGCAACCATGAGCATAACTGATGGCGACCTCATGGCGTCCGCAGGGTAAAAGCGGAGCTGGCAACGTGCTCAGCCAGAACTTGACCGATTAGTTTAAGCCCACCAAGCCGGCCCCAGGCTGCCGGCCCAGGCTCCCCGCACGGTCGTGATTTCAGACGGCGCAGAGAACCACACGAGTGGGTGAATCACCCTCTTGTTTCCTGACCCTTCTCGTTTCAGCGACCAGTGGCGATGTAGAGCTTCTTCTGGCCTTTCAGCAGCGTGGACACCTTTGGTGTGGAGACCGGCTGCTTTTGGTAACGAAGGATCGTCTTCAAGGCCTTCTCGGAGAGGCTGGAGAAGGCAGCTCTCTTGGGATAGAACATCTCAAACATCTCCTGGACACAAAACACAAACAAACCTCCAGGACTCACAAGAACCTCTGACTTAGAGCCCTTACGCCCCGCGAGGACCCCCGTCGCCAGCTTTCGATGTGCGACTTCTGCGAAGGTTGACGTTCTCCTGTGGGTGAACTGCAAGCACTATAACACGAGGCCCGAGAAAGCAGTTTGCAGGTATCACGACCCACAACCAGAGTTCTTGCAACCGCGCACTACGCTGTTAAGTATATCGGTATGTACAATATATGTATATAGGCCTGGGCCAAAACCTCTAAAACCATGACTCATACTGAGCTCAATGAGTGCGACCAAAAAAAAACATCAGAAAACTCAGACATACCAATGCAACTCGGTCTTGATGTCAGCTAGCTAGGCTTCCCGCGCACCCAGCGTTGCCTGAGTGGAACACTATCCCGGGTTGGTTACGTGCATGGCAGGGCCCCCGAAGACTGCGACCGGTCATCCGAGTGCCAAACAGTCGGTTTTCACTCCACTAACCGTGCCCGGTCGACCATTCCGATCAGAAAGTGAAACCAGTCACGTCAGCGAGTCCAACCTCGCCGTTTAAGTCTTTTTGACGAGGTTGACCATGGTTGACCTCTGTTCACTGGCACCCTGGTTTTGTGGGGTGGTCCATTTTCCACCTTTTTTGGTGCCTTGCATTCACTTTTGCCGGGAGATGTGTTGGATTAAACCTATAGCCTATAGCCGATAACCTATAACTGATCTTCCAACCTCCAAGCATCCGCGGTCGAACATGCCAGATCGCCAGCCCGACCGACCCCAGACCTGGCACCAGACCCGGCTCCTTCTGAGTCTCCTGGGCTCCCCAAAAATGGAAAAAGAGCAAGTGCCGTATGTCACCTTGCCATCCATCGCCACTTCCGAAGCGTGTCAGAAAGCTCCATGGCGTGCCTGGCTGAGTCGCGCCGACTGCAGGCAGCGCAAAAAAAACGGCGCAAGTCGCGAATCCTTCGATGGGCGAAGGGCCTCACCCCAATACGATCTGGGACTGGAAAGGCAAGATCTACGCCTGTTTTCACCAACCACCCCTAGCCGTTTCTCGGGTTTTGTCCACCAGTCACAAGTCCGTTTTCTGTGGGTCATCTGGATTGGGCCGGTTCCTTCAATGAAACCTTTTGACCTGGGGCGCTTGCACAGAAAGCGATAGAAAAACAGAGAGAGAGAGAGAAAGAGAGACGGAGGGAGGGAGGGAGGGAGGGAGGGAGAGGGATTGGGGGGCATTCGTCAACAGAGGTTGGCCGTAAAGCAGGCCACTTAGTGACTTAGTATTTGGCAGCCGCAGATACTCCGTCCGAACCCGGGCACACTGCAGGACTTCAAGGCAATGGGAACTAATTATGTAAGGAATGCCAAGAATTCGTCGATTACGGGGCGATCCTATACAAAGCACAGGCACGAACCATTTTCACCTCAGTAGTCCCAACATGCGCATCGAGGTCGTTGCCTCGCCACATTTTCGCTGCTTGTCAGAGAAAAAACTGATGGACCCCGTTGCACATATCAATATCAGACTTACGAGGCCCCGCTATGGCACCAAGTTTCTAGCCTCGATGTCCTGGCGCCATTTCAAAGCGTGCCATGTTTCATGTCAAACTGGATGGTTGTACATGGATGGAATCAAAAACAGCCAGAGGAACTGGATCAAACGGAATCACCAAGCCAATCTGAAAACAGTGGGTGGAGTCAAACAACAAGAGTAACTTGAGTCAAACATTGGGAATCACCACACCGATCTATAAAAGCAGCCTTGGAACCATGGCAGGCAACATGCAACTGGAAGCACCTCACTTTTGTTCTTTTCCGGGAACTCTATACAAAACTGGTAGCTCCAAACTCTTGCCTATATAGCCAGTTTCTTTTTGATCTTTATTGAACACGTTATTGTCAAATGCGCAACGGATAGAGTACCACTGAGCTCCCACCTGCCCTTTGAACCACATGAGTGGCGATCGTTATGTGAGTTTTGCATCTTTCACTTCATAGGTTTGACACTTGCACACATGCGGCATCAAAGGTGGCAGTGCAGCATGGAGGCAGTGGAGACAACAATTCTACTACAAAGACTGGCCAATGCAATTCTGATCTTGTTTCAATTGAAACCATGCATCCATTGCAAGCCTTTGTGCAGAACCTGTTGCCCTGTCTCCACTGTCGGAATTCCAGTAAAGTTGCCACAAAACAAATCCCCAATGAGCTGCACCTGTTTTCAGTGCGGCTCAAAGGCGTGCTTCTGACGGCCGTCAAGGTGTGTCTATAGAGGCCTCTGATGCACATAAATTCACCCAAATAAATTAAGGGAAGCCAGCGTTGTCATATCTAAATGTCCAAGACCTCTCACTCTCTGCATTTGGCCCGTCAGTCGCACCTGTCCGGAGTCGAACCGCTGAAACCGCCAGTCGCGTCGAAACCGGCAGATCCGAGGGCCCTGCAACGGCCTCAGAGGGCACGGAACGGAGGCCTCTGCATACCCAGCAGTTGTGGCCGCTGACTCCCGCTGAATCCCGACGGGCTCAGGCGACCAAAACTGATGGGCTGCATCGTATGAAGGCATATCAGATTCGCATGCGGCAGTGAACTGGTGGCATACTTGGGATCTCAAAAAATTCGCATGGAATTGGTGTTGATCTCTCGTCCTCTTGCTGTTGCCTTCATACAGTCAAACAATCCAACTGGATCCAGGGCTTCTCAACAACACAAAAGCCTGGAACCCAGTGCATGAGCAGTTCACCTTGCTTGGCTCCTTTGGCAGAACCCACGAAATGCACAAACGCCAGCACATGAACTAACATCAACTGATCAAAGCCGTTAGCGTCATCTGACACACACGCACATATATACGTGCACATGTTCTGTGTGGCGCCTGCATAGACACTCCCATACTGTCACATGTTTGGATCAAGAGCAGCTAGTGCCTTATTCAAGTGTTTGCGCAAAAACCAGGTAAAAGACTGGTTGGACACGGCCTTTGCAACTCCACGCCAGCTGGTAAAAATACACTCAGGCATCTGCTCGGCAAAGCTCGGCAACTGGAACGATCAGGGTTGAGGAGTTCGACAGTGGTTTGATCACTGGTTCTCATTCTGATGTGGCTAGCGTGCAAAAGGACAAGCGAAGGAAAATCGATTCCCCTTCACCTGTCACAGTGGGATTGACAATTCTTTAGAACAAGCCCTTTGCAAATTGGGTGATGAACACAAACAGACACGTCACGAACCAAACGCTTGGAAAAAGCCTCTGTTGAAGTTGGAAAAAGGAGAGATTGGTTGGCGTTCAATTGATGGGTCTTGGGGAAGGAATCATCCGTCAACTAAAACGCCATTGGGACCAATTCCTGGCATGAAGTGAGGAACGCTCAATGCGTGGAATTGACCATTTCTCCGGAACAAGCCCGTCCTTCAAACGACGAACACCAACACAACCAACTACCGTGGCAACGCGGCTGTGCCGCTGCCATCCTGGTCGTGACAGAAAAGCCGTTTGGACATGACAGGACAGAAGGATGCGACAGATCAACGCGAGAAACGTTGGGAGGTACATAAGCATCCTTTTGTGAACTGAAAACGCTACTGGGCTGTACAAAATCACCACAAAGTGTTTTCCATTAAAGGCGACGAACAAAAACAAACCTCTTCGATGACCGGTGACGCATTTGGGATTATGGTGGTTGCTCTTTGGTTGAACTACCTAGCCGGAACTAGCAGAAGCGAATCTTGCAGAAGCTCGTCTTAGACGCTCCGCTGGCAAATCCTCATCCCTTCAAACTAAATACTCAGCCAAAATATGAGCCTACTGAGCAACCTCTATATGCAGGTAGAAGAGTGTGCCCTTCACACTCAACAGAGTAGATCGCAGCAAACGGAAAAGCTCACACTGAGATGGACAAAAAGCTGCTATGCTTCCAAACGTTCACTGACCTGTAGGCTCTCCTTATCAAGGGATATCAAGGGTCATTTTTGCAATAGAACCGAAGGTCGTAAACGCTCTACTCCAACTAAGAAGAACAGGGAAAGTGGATCTTAAAGTCGCATTTGACCAAGTCACATTCTGCCCCCTTGATGCACATGCCATTGTGGGCAAGGTGATTGCACGGTCTGCGGTCTGCAATCTAGTGCCCCACCTGCCCACACTTAAGGCTTGGTGTCAGTGCTAACGTACAAGTTCCTCAAAGATCCTCTCCGCCTCTTTCTCAAGAACAACCACCATATCTGGCACCGATTGATGGGGCGCAGGTGCACACATGACTTCATCCTGTCTGTCTGTCGGTCTTTGCGTCTGGCTGTCTGGCAACCATGTGCCAAGCTTGCTGACCACATCCTCAGCCAAGGAAGCCAGGTACTAGTGACTAGTGCTAATACTCTGTGCGCACAGGGCTTTGCAGAACGACTATACCACTGTGCTCTATGCGGTCCTCCATGTGACTGCATGGATGTAGCGGCTTTCTAGAGGCAAAAATGGTTTGTGTTGAAGTTGTTTGCCCAACAATTGCTCTGTCTGTCTGTCTGTCTGTCTGTCTGTCCCTGGTTAGCAATTTTCTGCACAACATCACCCCTCTCAGGGGCCCCAAGCCGATAGGAAATGACTTCTCAGCATCCCTCAAAGAGTGGCACACAAACATGCAGAGTTCTAGGGGTGCATCACACATAGGCTTCAGAACGCAACGTGTTGCCATGATTGCCAGCAAACAACTCAATCACGGGATGGCAGTATCATGATTGAAGGCAACTGCATGGGGATTAAAAGTTAAAAATAGCAGCTAGCAGAATGAGCAGGAAACAAAATCCGTGGAAAAGCTGGGGCAGAAAAGCAGCGGCTAAGCACTTTGGACAAACAGCGGCCAAATACGATTGGCGATGGAAACCGAGGCGTTGAAACGACTGACATCATAAACCCATGTATATGTTGGAGCAGGTTGCTTCGATCAATACTGTTTGAAATTAAGCTACTCTCTGCCTGGTGTTGCCATATGCGTGTTGATCTTCAAGGAGCATTGCGGATCGCACGGGCAGCAAATGGTTCGTGCCCCGTCGCCATACATACAATAAAGCAACTGAGCACTGTATGCGTTTAGCACATTTCGTTACGGGCACAGGTCTCCAAGGTGACTCATAAACGTTCATGAAACGCAAAACGATTCCAGGGAGGCAAGTTCTGAGTTGGTTCGGGTGGACACATTGATGTGACGTGGCGGCACGCACAAAGGAGGATTTTGCCAAAGGAGTTGAGGCAATGTTCATGGCCTCCGTGCTCGATGTTGTTTCCGAGTGGGAAGGGCAAGCGTACTGCTGCAAGCACAAGCTTGCTTGATGACCATCAACGTCGACAATACAATGCAGGATATTCCTGTTATTGTCAATTGCCACAGCCACAAAACAACAAGCCAGCTTCAGAAACTACTGCACGCAAATTCATGACATTTTCATGAATCTGAGAAACACATCCTGGGACATGGAGGTCACAACTCTTTGACACGATTCATTCTTTGCATATGCTTGTTTTTCTATGTTTTTCTGAATTGAGCATCGTCAATTACAACTTATGCCCTTGGTTTGACTTGACTTGTTCCTCATGCTCTCATGTCACAGACGCACAACATGTTTCAGCCCAGGTTCCTTCAAGTGCAGTTCGTTGCATTGTCCTAGGTCCAGCGAGCTGTTGCGGCGCAGCACCTTCTCGATTGGGATGTTGCAATCCAGGAAGGCCATTGCCTGCGCGAAGTCCATTGCCTGCAGTGGTGGGTTTGTGCCAAACATGCAAAAAATAACAAGCTGCTGAGCCGGATTGAAGGTTGACTCATGATTGCACCAACACACATCAACAAGCGGTTCCGCAGAACTTTGAAACCATAGGAGGTTGCTAAGCATTGCTCATGTCATGTCCTCGTCCAAAGGCCTGTTTCTTTGCACAGTTTGAGGCCCGCATTGTTCGAAGCGCAAGACTCGAAGGCTTCGTGCACTGTTCGGGTCGCAGAGCGTCCACGTCTTTGAGCCAAACTTGGCGCAAAGAGCCTGCAGTGCAAGAGAGGTTTGTCACCGCCCCTCTTCAGCCGATTCCACGGGTACAGGGTCTTAGTTCAGGTCTGCCGCGATTGGTCGACGGTGTTGACGGGAAGGAGACATCAAAACCACTGGGTTACAAAGAGCAATCCTTGTGCTCAAACAAAACCACAAGCAGCAGTCACAGTCGCACATCATGTCCCATGCAAAGCACGCACCCCCCTTTTCATCTCACAAGTAGAGTACTAGTACAATCCAAGGCAAATATGCACATCGAGGCTGTTGCCTCGCAACATGTAAGCTGTATGTCATAGACATAACTGATGGATCCCGCTGCGCATATCAAACTTACAAGGCTACACTACGGTACCAAATGCATCCAGCCTCCATTCCCTGAAACAATTTCAACTCAAAGCATACAAATAATGTCAAACTGGATGGTTGTACATGGGTGGAATCAGAAAGCAAGAGGAACTGGATCAAACATTGGAAATCACCAAACCAATCTGAAAACAGTCAGCCTTGGAACGATACACACAAAAAGGTTATACATGTTATGCAGGCACCAACTTTGGCACATGCTACAATATCCAATACCTCACGACTGAATTTCCCATCCTCTATCCAAAAGTGGCAGCTCTAAACCCTTACCAACTTATACTGTACACTATTTGTTTGATGTGTGTTTCATTTCTTCTCATGCGCAACGGATAAAGTGCAACTGAGCTCCCACCTGTCCTTTGAACCACATGAGTGGCAATCAACATCTCTCCATCGGCTGAAAATCATTAGAGTTTGGCGAACAAAATTGTTTATGTTGATAAAGTCTGTATTGCATTTCCACAACCACAGGCTAAACAAAACTATACTGTTATGTGAGTTTTGCATCTTTCACTTCATAGGTTTTGACAGTTGCACGCATGCGGCATCAAAGGTGGCAGTGCAGCATGGAGGCAGTGTTGACAACAATGCTACCACATTGAGTTGCCTCGTTTCGAAGGGAACCATGCATCCTTTGCGAGTTTCGTGCGCAACCTGTTGCAGGAGCCCACAGGAAATACAAATACATTCTGTACAATTGGCTGCACCTGTTGTCAGTGAGCTCAAAGGCGTGCTTCTGACGGCCCTGCAAAGAGTCAAGGTGTGTCTTTTTAGAGGCCTCCGATGCACATAAAGTCACCCAAACAAATTAATTACTGTACTTTGGGAGGTGGTGAAGGCCCAGACCGCGCAGCCGATTTGCGCATGGCCAAACTGATGTGATGCCTGAAATGCTAACTTTGCCGAAGCATGGGATATCATGGGATGAATATACCATCGCATGGTTGCCCTATGGCCCTATGACAATGCTGCTTGGTTTGATGCCAATATGGTGGGCCGTGGGGATGCTCTAGTTCCACAGGCTGGGTCGCTTTGACCTGCCATGGCTCGTTGAAGGACGCTTCCGCTGAAAAACCTGCGAAGCGACCTCGCCGGCTGGGCGTGGCACGGCAGGAATCCTATCCCTCCCAAATCAGCTGCCAGCACCCTCCGACAGGTCACCAATTGAGACCTGTTAGGGTCCAACAACCCTCAACTAACAGCCTGTTGGAGGGTGCTGGTATGGATCAGAATGATGGGATTCTCTGGATGTGTTCCTTGCTATTGATGAGGACGCGATGTCAAACCTGGCCCTGGAAGCTGAAACCACCAGGAGTGTGGGCAGGAGGCAAAGCGCTGTTGGGCTGGAGCCCACGAGAAGAAGCAGAACCAGGTTGCCGGTCGCGGAGTTTTTGCCCAAAAACCTCGTCCTCGTCCACCTGTTCAAAGAGCAAATATTGGTATGTTCACGACACGTTCATCCGATTTTTGGGATATGGTCTTGTCTGGATTTGGTGGTTCTTCGGCCCAAGACCCACACATAAACTATATACCAGCACCCTCCAACAGGCTGTTAGTTGAGGGTTGTTGGACCCTAACAGGTCTCAATTGGTGACCTGTTGGAGGTGCTGGTATATATATATATAACTGCATTGATTGGAGTGTTTACCAGTTTACTTCTTTCATCTAGCTGAATCTTCCAAGTGAGCGTTGTTCAAAACCTGTCTTTTAAGCGAAGTTTCGTAAGAAGGTGCTTACACACACGCTTGCGCTTTGCTTACGCGACTCAGGTTTAAGCTTACGCGCCATGCAGGGGACATGAAGCGCTTACGCGGAGCTTACGCAAACAGATACGGACAACAATTTCTCCACCACACCACAACATGAGCTTACGCACTTGACTTTTTACATCTTTTTACTTGGCGCCAACATCAAAAAAATGGAAGCAAGCACACATGCAAATACATGGAGAAGTCAAGCTTACGCACTTTGCTTACGCAAGCGCTACAGCCCAAAAAATGCTGACGCAACCCTACGCAATTCAGGTTTTTGCTTACGCACAGTCTCCTTACTAAATATGAACACCTAGGTTTTGAACGATGCTCAAGTGCTTTCCCTTTAAAGTTCCCCGTTCCCCCAGCTTCATCACGAACAGCTTCTCAAAGCTCGGAGGTGAAGCCTCTCCGCGTGCGTTCCGGCTGGTCTCGGCTGATTCCATGCAACTGCAACCGGTGGGCTCCTTAGGCGGAGCTATCAAAGAGAGAAAGTCGTGGTGTTTCGGAGGGAGGGATCACATCTGTGGACTGAGTAGGCCAACCTGCTAGATGCTCACCCCAGATTCGAAGGAGAAGTGGGCTGATTTGGTTTAAATGGAATGCCCTCCTGGACTTCTCCTCTAGATGTTCACCTACTAGATCTTCAGTCACCCACCTCAGTCGGAGCGACCAGTTTTGGACGGTGGGTTGCAAAGAGTCTGTAGGGTTGCAGCCCGTTGGACCTCCTGGCAACTCTCACAAAATGGCTTATATGGATGATCAGTTGCGTAACGTACCTCATCAATTCCCCTCAACGATTGCTTTCCAGAGAATCATTTCCCAAGCGGAGGAGGTCCTGGGAGTGCGCCTCGAAAACGGTGCACTAATTTCGCTCAGCAGTTCTAAATGGTTCTGCGATGTTCTGTGTTCCATACATTTCCAAGTGCAAGCAGCCTGTCCGCTGTTGGACCTCCTGGCAACTCTCACAAAATGGCTTATATGGATGATCAGTTGCGTAACGTACCTCATCAATTCCCCTCAACAACTACTTTCCAGAAAGTCATTTCCCAAGCGGAGGAGGTCCTGGGAGTGCGCCTTGAAAACGGTGCACTAATTTCGCTCAGCAGTTCTCAATAGTTCTGCGTATTCCACCCTTGTCGCTTGTCCTTCCAACCTCCGCCTCTGCCTCCGCCTCCCCAAAACACTTGACCAACTTGCCCAACTTGGCCATGATTCTGGAAGTGTTGGTAGTCTTGGTACTTGTAAGGGTAGGCTTGTAAGATCTCCGGCAAAGGGGGGCGGGTTCAACTCCATTGACATCACAGCATCGTAGGTGAGCCTCAAGCTGGTCTGCCACTTCCCGGTGCCCAACAGGAAATCAAAGGTGACTTCCTCGTCCAGGTTCACCTCCAGGCTCTCATCAGCCTCATCCTCGTCATCCTTTTCTTCCGGTTCTTCCACGAAGAATGGTCCCATGATGACTTGTTTTTTTTTGAGGCTTGCAGTACTTGGACACAAGCTTGCCCAAGCCCTCCTTGTAGACAGCCGCCAGGCCCATGCAAGCGCAGGCTGCAGGGATCACAAGGCCCGAGCCTGGCAGCACGTTGTCAAGCTCGAGCATGCTGCACCAACCACCGGCGACCCCCAGGGGCAGCAAGGCCACCGAGTCTTCAGTGCTGAACCCCATGTCACTGCAGTTCATCTCCGCCAACACCTGGAAAAAGCTGCGGCCCAGCACCACTCGCTTGGCGATCGCCTCCAAGTCCCTGGCGCTTGCTCGGTGATCACAGGCCTCCAAGAGCTTGTCCGAGTTTTGCATCAGCAGGCACACGCCAATCCGCCGCAGATCTCGAAAAGGGTCACTCTCGTCCACTTTCACCTTGAAGAGCACCTTAATGAGTCTCCGAAAGTTGCCCATGTGCTGCGGACGGGGATCCCAACCAAAGCAGAAGAAACTCCGCAACCACTGATCTACGATCTTCAAGAGACTTTCCTCAATCCCTCGTTGTCTGAGGGCGGCAAAGGTGACTGGGCAAAAATGTCGGTAGCTCCTCAGCACCTGACGGGCCTGCTCCTGACTGCGTTGCTGCCCATGAGTTTCGTCGTCAACCTCGGGCCGCAGCAAGCGCTTCCAATAGAACTTCTCTAACATGCGGATCAGCAATGCATAGGTCTTCATCTCCGACTCCGTCATGGCCAACAAATTTGAAGAGAAGATGGTCAGATCCTTGTCGAAATCAAGGTACTTGTACTTCTTATAGAGTGCAAGGTGTACTCGTCGAAGTTGATGGCGAGCACCGATGAAGGCGTAGTTTGGATGTTTCAGCGGAAAGTGGTGATCTTCACCTCCATAGACCTGGCCAATTGGGTCATCCAACGCCAGGGCGCGACCGAGAGTAATTTCCACTGACACCTCGTGAGGGCCTACTCGGTCTCGCTTGTAGTCTGTGCAGGCATCATGAAAACCGGAGACCAAATCTGCCCAGCAAAACTCATGGGCTTTCTTTCTGAAGCAGCAGCAGAGCTCCGGGACCTTGAACTTCTGCTGCACCGCTCCGACCTGCCTCTTCTTTTGACTTACGATGGTCTCGATGGAGTCCAGTTTGCCCTTCGTTGCGCAATCCATGATAGAGCTTGAGCAGGAGTTGGCTGAGAACTTGGAGCCATCACATGCCATTACCCTTCTTCGTCCCCTCGAAACGGACGCTTCAGGACGGCGCCAGGCGCCAGGCGCCAGATACACCAAGGCACGTTCGCTTCTGGAGAGTGGCAGCATCCAGGTGGGCACAACCGGGTTTGGGATGGTTGGGGGGCTGTTCTGCTTGGTTGGTTGGAGTTGGTTTGGCGCAAGTGGCAAGCGTTGTTTTCAAGCTAGAATTGTCACCTTTCGATTGCCTTGGGATGGTGAAGAGACCAGACTTGGACTTCTTTTCCGGCCAACTTGCAGTGGCCGAAACCACGTCATTTCCAGAAGGAATGGGGCAAACTGTCCTCAAATTTCTAGATTGTAGCCGGGAGCATGAGCTTGAGGAAAGTTCACCCGGCTGGCACAAGCTTAAACACTAGCCTTGTTCAGCTCTGGCAAGCCTGCGCCTCAAATCCAGTAGGCACATGATAGAACCCGTGTGACTTCTACAATGGACCAAACCTGGGAATGCAACACGCAAATGTTGCGAGTTTCAATAGGCCTTTTGAGGAGGATAATGAAGGATATATAGGCGAGAGAACACACCCAATTGCGGGTAGGAGGCCATCGCTAGTAGGTTGGAGGCATTATTGCTATTCAGTTCCTTAGGAGGCCATGTGTGCTGTACTCGTCGTCTGCCCCCACCTCAGTTGGGGATTCCGCCCCGTGAGCCTTTCCTGAACGGTTCCGAGCTGCCAGCACCGAAGACAAACGAATTACCGTGGGGAACTCTTCCTCCATATGCCGCGTATGCAAGCAGTGAGGCCAAATATGGCTGAATGGTAGTGGATGAAGGTGGCGAAGAGTGAGTGGGTAGGGTGGTCGCCTCATGTTGAACCCTGTCATTGAGAAACTTGGAGGCCAAGTGAATGCTTGGAGCATTGTGAACAAGCGCTGCCACACATTGGTGTCTGGTACATTGATGTACCTTCCATGTCAGGATTCATCTGCGGCGGTCCGAACCGCGGTGGTTCGAACAATAGCTTTTGAATGGTCATAGGCTGGCAAGTGAAAGTCCCTTGGCTTGCAATTATGACAAATCTATCTCAGGACCTGAAAAAATGTCTGTGCAATCTCTGTAACGCAATGGACCCAGAGTCACAAAAAAAAAAAGATCCAAACTCTCGCAGATGCTGAACCCGCCGCTTAAATAACTGGGTGTAGCCATATGCAAAACGGAAGCATAAACCTGACCTGCACCCGAACAGTCTTTTTGCGTTCAAAGGCCCAACTGAGGGGGCAACTAGCAACAAAGGGCATCGCTACTAGGAGCAAGGACGCTACTTGTAGCTCCTGGCCTTACTGCTAGGAACAAGAAGCTACTAGGAGCAAGGACGCTATTACGTGGAGGCCATCGCAAGTAGGTTGGAGGCCATCGCTACTAGGAACAAGAAGCTATTGGTAACAAGGTGCTATGGCAATTGTTGTTCCGCTTGGCCAAGTGACGCGCCCACGAGCCAGGAGAGTGCGCCAAGGAAGGTGCCAGAGCAGTTCAGAGGCATTGGAGTTAAGCTCTCCACCTGGAGAGTTTGGTGACATCCGATGCACCAGTGGGACAGAAGAAACATGACAAAACAGCAAACCACTTGAGATGTGTTTAATCAAGTTATTCATCCACAAGTTCTTCATGATCTTGGATGGGATGACCCTGCCCATGGGCCACCAAAACGATTTAAGATTCTACAGACTTTGCAAGAACCCTACATATTATGACATAATCGCACTTTCAAGGAACAATGCCGTTAATTTGTCTTTTCCCAAACACAGTGTTTTTTGGTTGTGACCAGGCGGAAACCGGCAGAAACAAAGAGATAAAGCAACGTGTAGAACAAAGGCAACGTCATTATATTATATATAACTTTCCAGAACTAAGCAGTAGCAGTTGTCTTGGTTTTAGTAAGAGGTCGTCATGGTTTCTGATCCTATAGAGCTTCCATATGTCCAGAGAATCTTGACCATGAAGTGGGGACAACAACAATCACCTGATCAGCCACATGACCCATGAGAAAACCAAGCAGCTGAGACATGGTTCATTGATGAATTGATGATCCGCTTGGTGAAGATCCCCAGGTCCCCAGGGCTGTTTTCACGGTTTTCCACTTTAGGAGACATCGTTCAAATCCAAAGAGTGTGCGTTTCAAACAAATATCGTGAGTCGTCGTGGCTGATCATGAGTCTTGAATAGACGTGGCTGACGTGGCGATCGATCTCACACGAAACAAGCCGGCAAAAGTGTACTTCATCCCCTTGATAGCAGGAAAACGTATGACAAATCAAATCAAATAAGTAGTCCACCTCCTCCCCACTCCCATTTGGTCTGGATTCACAGCCCCAGGCGCATTGGAGACGTGACAAATCCTCCACTTCATCGATCGCGCCCTCGATGGGTGCGACGCTGGTGGCTTGCAATGGCTGCGGCTGTGTCTGCGGCTGGAGTGCTTCAAGAGCTTCTGGAAGTTTTGAAGGTGCTGCGGTCGCAGCTGCCTGGGAAGAATGGATTTCAGAGTCGTGCAGAGCCGTGCATCGCTCTCCAAACAATCACAACATAGAACGAACAATGACAAGCCTCTCCTATCAGAATGGAATAGCAATGTGGTTCTTCATGCACTGGCCCCTGGGATTCCAAAATTCCTCACCCTTCACAGTTGAGGCCATCACGCAAACCGTCAGGTCCTGCCATTGCTCCATCATTTCCTTAAGAAAGGGCATCCCACATCCGCCCAAGTCAGGTCATAGACTCCACAACCTCGACTGCCTGGAGGTGAAGGCGTTGACTGCCGCTGTCCAGCAAGGTCTTGTCCTCCTCCTCCTCAGGCCTCTCGACCTGGGTGAGAACCCCCTGGAAGAAGGAAACTAGATCAAAACCCATTGGTTGGGTGTCGCCCTATTTAACTATGCACTCGCAAACACATACAAAACAACACCATGGCCAGGCCACGCAAGGGGGGTGAGGCAGCGAGGCTCTGGCAGCAATGCGCCACTGGCGCCCTCGTGCTCCCAGACGCAAAGGCGTAACATCTGATCGTCGGACTCCTGCGATAGACTATGGACCCGAAGGGCCAAGTGACATGGGTGACGAGGGCAGTGTTTTGGGGTGTGCAGTGGTGGAAAGCCAGGAAGAACATCGGGAATCCATGGGAAACCGATCATCTGGTTTCTTTCCTCAGCTTTTTCCAAAATGTTCCAGACACCTTTACCATTCCACGCCCACCTATTTCAACTCAAGACCCTGTTTTCAATGAAGCACAACTGCAGGACTGGCCAGCCGACTGTCACCCGACTCTCACTGCTCCGGTTTGGGAAAGAAGCGGGGGTGCCCATATATATCTTCGGTGTTCCCTCACGCTGGCACTGAGCTCAGGCGCTTCATCCGTGAGGAGGTCGCAACTCTCTCTGACACGACTTATTTGTGCATCATGGTTTTCATATTGAGATTGGTATAGAGTATAGATTTGTCAATACTAGTGCTGAACATATGCCCTTGCTTTGACTTGACTTGCTTGATTGCTTACAAACACGCCGCATTTTTCACCCGAGATTCATGTGCATCTCGGTGCTGTCTGGTGCATCGTTCTAGGTCCGGCAAGCTACTGCGGCGCAGCACCTTGTCGATTGGGATGCCACAATCCAGGAAGGCCATTGCCTGCGCGAAGTCCATTGGTCGGTTTGCACCACGAGCTGCGAGCTCCCCGTCGCTGAAAACGCTCATGATTGCACCAACAAACATCAACAAACGTTTCCGCAGAACATTGAAACTATATGGTCACGGACGCACAAGTCTCCTGGTACAAAATGAGGCCTGTGTTGCAAAACCCCCTTGTAAACGGAGTGTTCATGGAATGGACCATGGAAAAAATGCAGGTTCGTTTCCTATTCGTGTTCATCAGTGCGGACCGCGCGTGTCTCGGATCACTTGCACCAGAGCTTCCAGCACATCTTCGTGCAAAAACAATTACACGACACGGTCGGTTTAAACCGATGACAACCGATGACCATGTTATGACACTGATGACAATGCTGCCGTGAAAACAGTGAAGCGAACGAAAACACCAGGCGACTGATGAATCCGTGGGCACGTGGCCTGCGAGGTCTGCGATTCGGACCTCGACGGAGGATGCGCCGACTTTGAGCCCAAACGGCGGAATCGCAGAACGAACGAATCGTCGCCCCAACTCCGGTGGTCCGAAGTCAGTTTTACAAACTGCAAGGTTTCCCGGAAGGGTCTTAGAGGAAAGTTCCGTTCTTCGTTCCAACGGCGTTTCTTCATACCAAAAGCTGTGCTTCTTCAGACCTCAGCACCGAAGCCGTCGCGCTTCAGCCCTGGATCGTCCTGCCTAAAGGTGCCAAACCACTGGAGGCTAGGAAGGTATGTCCTGGCAAAACAGGGCTGGAGGTGCCGAATGGTGCTTCTGGTTCCGAACTTGACCGAATTGATTCGCAAGTTTCTTTCTGTACTTCTAGCCACCAGCTGCTCGGCTAAACAAGAACACCTTCTTGCAGCAAGTGGGGAAAGCCCGGGTTTGCGAGGATGAAGTTCAGGATTGAGTTCATGAATGATAATGAATCTTCTACTTCACTGAAGGTAAATAGTAGACTCTCGGATACTCTTGGAACAATGGTTATGTTTTCCAGCACGTCCATGTAGCAGTCTTTGGGTACCCCCGAGTGTGGCCATCGAAAGAAACATCTAGTAACCCAAACCAAGGTCGCGGCACAGTTGTATAGCAGCCCGGGGTGTGTAGCTACGTGACCGATTAGCGTGCTCTGCCAACAAAACATTGCTGCTGTTGCTGCTGCTGGTGATGATGATGGTGATGATGCTGATGATGAGGTTGTCGTTGTCACCACGTTGCAAAAGGAATGTTACTACCCCCCCCGGCCCACCACCCACCCAAGATCTGCTGAATTGCCTGAATCTTCTTGAACGTGTAATCTTTTCTGGAGCAAATGATGAATGTTGTGCACGGCGTGGTTACATGTTGTGGAAGAACCAACTCTTTTGGAACAATCATAGATGTTGTGGGGCGGGTGATGAATGTGGTGCGGAACATGTTGTAAAACGCTTCTAAAACCCCAGGCCGCTAATGGCGGTGTGAGCACAAACAAACCTTCAGTTCTCACATGTTCTCACGAGTTCTGTTCAGAAAGAACCGAGTTCTGTTAATTCTGTTCATGATTTCAGGCTGCCAAGGATTCCGTCATTTGTACCGAGTACAGAAAATGAGTTTAGGGTTTAGGATGGTTTATGGTGAAGTCGTTGGAGATCAGTATTGGATCCCTAGAAGGTGGTCGTTTCTGCGAAGGTGGTCGTTTCTGCGCTAGCGGGCCGCGGGCCCGACCCCGACCTGGGGCATAGGGGTCTTGGGTGGTGGTGTTGCGGCCCTTGTAGTCAAAGAGCCCGGCAAAGTCACCATCATTGTTGGTCAAATATTGATCCCAACCTGACAAATCCGCAACTGAAAATGATGAGGCTGCGAGGCGCGACAAATCCCACCCTGAAACGAACTTCGACTGTGAGAAAAACATGGCCCGCGATCTTGATCTAAGTTTGTTCAGTCCAAGCCATGCGCAGCCATTAAATTGGATTGATTTTTAAAACGAACTTGAACATTTAGGAGATACAAAGCCTCCTGTCACGAGGCTTATACAAGTCATCCATGCCACGTCAGTTTTGCCCACCAACTGCGCTTGACAGGTCTCAGGTGGATTTGGTCTTGTCATGTCCTGTCCGATGAAAATGACCGATTCCGATGAGCCAACTGATGACGGTTGACCAAGCAGTTCGGTGCTGCCGAAGCGGTTCGGACCGGCACCCATGGGTGGCACGTTCCATCCAGTCCGTGCCACGAGTCCGTGCGACGAGTTCCGTGAAGTGCCATTGTGGGATTTTGAGGCTGTTCCTGATTTGATTGAAGACATAGGGACACAGGCTGAAGAGGATCGGGATCCAAAGGGTTTAAAAGTGCTTTGAACTGGCAACCTGCCAAACTAAATAGCAAACCACCGACTCGTTTGCAATCTACCAAGCATTTCTGCAACCATCCACTCCGCCGTGATTAAGATGTCCCAAGCAGCCCTGATGGTCCAGCAGGTACGGGTTCTCCCGCAGCCATCCCGCGTAGCCCATCAGTAAGGATGCAGCTTTGTGGCTGCCGCGCGCCAGCAACACTGCAGGACTGATGGAAGCGCTGAGTTGATGCCGCGCAAAAACCAACTCCTTGACTGAACAACTGAACGGAAGACCTACGGAGGTGAGGAGCTCAAAAAAAATCCTGAGGATGGGTGCACACACAAATATAATCAAATATATGTATATAGCACACACGCATATATATGTATGTAAAAATGATATATATTACACATATGTATATATATATATCAGCTACTTATGTTTACTTATGCATAATATATATATATGTATGTATGTATACATTTGTATAACAAGATGTTTGGATGTATGAACTTCATTAACCTGTGGATAGCTGGTCATATCAGAGCCTCCTAATTCCAGGGACAGGTCCTCATGTTCGGGGTGTGTAGTGGGGATATTGTCATCTTACAGTAAATGCATGGGCGAAAAGTATCCCTTCAAACTAAATGCTACATGTTTGCCGGGATCTGCAGGAAATTCTTCTGTGTGTGCGTGCTCTGATGTGTTGTGAAACGGGATCAACAAGATTAGGAGTGGCATCATCTGGCCGCTTTGAGGGGCCCCAGGCTCGTCCAGGTTTCCATGCAAATGTCGAGCTGCTTTCGCGCTCACATCCGCATGGCGTGCACAACAAATCATACGCAACAGCGCACGGCGATGCGAGGTGCAGGGCGGGCCAGGGCGGGCCAAGTCGGGCGGGCGTGGATTTCCATGGTGTTGATGGCACCTTCCAAGTCATGCATGCGAACCCAATTGGGGTTGGTTTTGGAACTTTATCCTGCAATCCCCTTTTGGGGTCTGTTGCTGCGCAAAAAACAGGTACATCTTGAAGAAACACCCAACAACTATGGCAGAACCACCCACAGCTCGCAGCGACCTCCTCAAAACCACATGGTGTGACCGGAAGATCAACGAATTCACACCGCTCCAGCTTAGACAAGCGCGCCAAGGCTCACTGGTATTCCCTAGCTCCTCGAAGACGAATGAGCTAGGATCGGTCAGGACGAAGACATCCAGATCCAACCACACCGTGGTGACGCCCAAGTGGGCGACGGAAGCCAAGGCCAAGTATTTGGCCACCATGGCCTGCTAAAAGCAAAAACGATTCCCACAAAGACCCCAAACTGGAGGCACCGGTTCAGGAATTGGATCCTAGAAAAAGCATGTTGAAGAACCTCCTGAGAATGAGCTTCCAAATCTGACCTCAATGAGCTAAATTCTCAGTTCTGTGGTGTCTCTGGACACAAGTCACCGGACCGCAGCACATCTTCGGTCAGATGACCGCCAAAGTAGGTAGCAAATCAATTTGTGAAACATGTGTGAAGGTTCAGGCCAGCTCTTCATGGGTGGGATGTGCAATTAATGTTGTTCTCAAGTACTCAAGTTTCAAGAAACCATCCCACATGTTGCAGCCTTGGCTTGGAACTGCTCCATGTCCCACCTACTTGACAATGAGACAACAACAAATAATCATCTCGTCCCTTATCTATACATGTTCTTACTACGTAGCTTGAATTCTCTTATATAACATCTCTCAGGCTCTGATACCTGATACCTTGGATTCCATATGAGGTATCCACCCATTCCATCCATACTTCCATCCGCCATTGATACCATCAGCCCGCATCTTCACCCACACCTCCACGCCCAAGCGCTGTGGCGCTTCAATGCAGCGAATCTTCACCCGTCGCGGCGAGCTGGCACGGGCCGCGGACGCCCCCGCGCTGCTCAGGTCCTGAGAGACGAGCAGCGGTGAGCCGGGGGTTGGCTCGTGATCAACCCGAGCAAAAACGGCCTCCAAGCTGCTTGCGGTGGCCTCCAACCCACTAGCAAGTTGCCTCCAACCTAAGAGCGATGGCCTCCAAACTTGAGAAAAACATGTGAAAGCCATGGAAAAGGGACATGATGGGTTTGGAGGTTGAGATGAACAATGTCCACCACGACTGGCATGGGATGAAGAAGCCAAAGCGCGACGCAAATTGGAGCCGACGAAAACAGTAAGTCGTGTATGGGCTAAAGATAACAAGAAACTATACTAGTAGCAAGGACGCTTTTAGGTGTTAGGTTGGAGGCCATATCGCTACAAGTAACAAGAAGCTACTATAGGTGGAGGCATCCCTTCTTCAGTCAAGATCAGTTTTGGGCAGTCGCCAATTAGTGCAACACTTCCAGAAATGCGTAATCAAACCCGACAGTCATGACACCTATAAATTGAAGCCTTCCAAAACCATTTCCCCTACAATCCCGTGGTGCTCAGCTTGACGTCCATCTTTCTGACTGTTTGGGGGGGGTGCTCCACCAAACAGTCTAACAATGTCCAAAGTGTTACACTCCCGAAAACTAACATAGACCCTGACTGGCTGGCCCCCCCGGAAGAGTGTTTTCCTCTACCAACCAGTGCAGGGTCCATGTTAGTCTTCCAAAGTGTTATGATGTGTCACTGTGTCATTAAAGTGTCCAAGTTTAGAGTCTGATAGGCCAACGCACGTGTCAGACGCCAAGCGATCTCGGCACAAAACCAGCAGCGGGGCTGTCTTAGACACCACCCGCCAGCGTCTCAAAACGCCATGTAGTTGTTCCTCAACACGGCTGGTGCCCGCGCAGGCCCGGGGGCACTGGCCCACCCCACGAGTGAGAGGAGTGGCGAAGCAAGATCCGCCGTCGGGGTTGGGAACGGAATTCCCGAAACTTAAGAGACTTCGGGAGTGTATTACGGTTTTCACATCCAACACACATCCGAAAACTCTCATGGACGTCGAATGGCGCCCGATGGCGTCCGACCGGTTTCCTCGACAACTCCGTGTGAGTTTTACCGTGCTAGTGTGAGGCTGTCAGCGGGGTAATACATCCCCCCCATATCCCCCCTGCCCCTACAACGGAACAATTGAAACATCCAAGTGTGACTGCCAAATTGCCAATAAACACAATGATAAGCAAACAACATGGCCCCCAAGTAGTACCCCCCCGGGCTTTGGAAGGATCAAGCACAAAGCAATGGGTGAAGCTTACAAGCAAATCAAGCGATGTGCAGTGAAGTCCAAGTTTCTGACATCCAGCCCCAAGCTGATGTCACAAAAATCACCTCTGCAGCCCCTTTGGCTGCCTGTACGGTTTCTACGGCTTGCTTCACGTCAGTCACCAGGGTCAAGGCAGCATCCTTGGCCTCGGGCTTGCTTTTTCTTTGGGACAGGCCATCCGTACGATAGTGTGAGGAAACGACCCAGTGGAGTCCATTCCGGGTGTACACTTGGCACAATCGACGCCGAAAATCAATCCTCATAACTACTATGCGTTCTCACGGCGCTCAGCGGCCTGTTCGGCCCCTTTTCGGTCCACGGAGTCGCAGAGTCCACTCTGAAGAACTCACCCCATGAGACTGGTCACCCTGCTTCCAAAGACGACACGTCGTCCACCTTTTCAGGTAGCAACCAGAAGCACTTAGTGGAGAGAAGAAAGAGAACATCTGGTTGCCAAACGCGGCCCTTGCGAATTTTTCTCTGGCCTCTTCTGTTGCCATGCGTCACTTGCCGCCAAATGAGCCAACACAGCTCGAACCCCTCTAATTGGCCGACTGAATGCTCTGAAAGGGTATGGTGTTCGAAGTACACTCGGATCGAGTTCTCTGGACCAACGAAGCTTTTGGTTTGAGATCAAACCGTTCCTAGTAGCTTCTTGTTCCTAGCAGTACGGCCCAGGAGTGCCCAGGAGTGCCGCGTCCGATCGCTCCGTTCGAAGACAAATGCCCCTGGCCGTAGCGTGCGTTCGGAGGTCGAGGAGGTCGATCTATTCGTTCAATCCTTCCCATCCACTTCATCCAACTGCCATTGAATCCCCCCCATCCACACCAGTGAAACGCCCCCCCCCCCCCCCCCCCGGGTGCCCCCCCCCCCCCCCCCCGCCCTCCCTTCGTCTCCCTGCCTGCTCTGCCTCAGCGGGTTCCGCTGGCGAGGTGGACGGCAAGGTGGGCCTCTGCCCGATCTTCGTTCTCCATGGAAAAAACCCTGTTTCTTTCGTGCACAGCTGCATGGTGGACTGCATCTCTTTTCGATCTCCAACTCCATTCGGAAATCCTGCGGATCCCCCGCTTCCTTCTCTGGTTTTCGGGCTCAGCTCGCATCAAGGGGCCAAATTTCATCTGGATGAGCACGCTGCAACAAGCTGGCCCAATGCATCAGCCGCCAAACTGCCCAGTCAGTCCGAGCAGCCTGGAAGGTGTGAAAGGACGACACTCCCATCATCTCCATAAATAGGCTCCCAAATAAATAGAAGTTCCTAGATCCCCACCCAAAAAGTGTATTGGAAACCGTGCCACGGTCCATCTATTTGGGGATCACTAGTATACTGCCATTGCTGCCAGCACCAAAAGCTAAAGCTTGGAACATCGGGCGCTTCGGAGATCCGTAGCGCGATGCCTGCTGGACAGGTCCGTAGACATTCACCAGATTCGCTACGATGGAGACCAGTTTCTGCAACCTTCCCTCGATGTCGCGCAAGTGAACCACAAAGATCTGAAGGATGTAGCCTTCTTCAACGAGATCTCGGGTTTAGGGTTTCGCTCGACAAAGGCGCAGGGAGGGGATGGACTCCTGATTTGGGGGACGGACTCCTTTCTTTTGATTGCAGGGCCCCAGGCTGGCCGCCATGACCACATCTTGATGCCCAAGGCACTGAATAGTGCAGAATCCAAAACTTGTTGAAACACCTTCCCTAAACCTTGGTGCAAAGAAACCCTTTTAAGCCTCAAGCAAAAACGTGCAAAACAAATCATAAAAGTACAGGAATTTTGCCTTTTGAGTCCCACCATCTTCACCTCGTTGGCATTTTTGACACCCATTCCATCCCTGTTCAACCTTCGACAATGTGGCTTCCCTCTTCCATATCTTTTTTAAAGGACCCACTGGCATACCTGGCATGGTGAAATGCCGATAGGTACCGGTGCAGCTACCGGTGCGGGCACACGAGGTCCGGAGTTGCGCAGCTCTCCAAATCCGAGTTGCTCGAGATGACCCCCAAGTGGCAGCCAGCTTTGTAATGGTGCTTCCGATAGGCATCGAACACATCATGCGAGACATAGACCAGCTCCTAGCCCACAGCAACATGCAGGATGAAAGTATCCACTGAAAGCAGTATCATATGAAGAAAAAGAGTGGATGGCCGACTTGGCCTGGTCACGCTCAACGTCTTGACGAAGATGCGGAGTTAGTTCAAAAAGGGCTTCCCAGGATGAAGGATGCTGCCTGTTGCAGTGGTGCGTGATCCTTCTGCGATCTGCGGGCACGCCCCACGGTTGAGAGCCCCCCCAGGGTTTTGAAGACCACGGGGTTGTGGACCATCATCCTTCCAGTCTGGTCGATTCAAGGGAGTAGATTGACTTGGTTAGATCATGGGGACTAGAATCCAGGGTCAGAAAGGTCCACACTTCTTGATACCTGTCAAGCGCGGTTCCATGTGGGCTCCCTGGACCAGTTGTCATCTGAAGGGGAGAACGCGCCATTTCTCCACCACTTTTTGGCCATCTGAGGCCCTGCGGTCATCTGAAGCCCCTGGTACCAAGAACTTCTGGTAGGCCGAGTGAGCTCACCTAGAAACAGGACCCTTCCACAAGCTAGGCTAGGCCTAGCAACACCTGAACTCTTCACCTCAAAACAGGGGCTTCGACCAGTCCGCGGGTCCCATGATGTCCCCCATCTTCTCCAGTTTAGACCTCTTAATGACCTCCATCTTCGACCTCTGTCAGACCCTCATCGCCCGCGTTCCTTCATCTCATGCAGTGCGTGGATCCGTTGCCACCGCGCGGTGTGTTGCCGCGAGAGGGGTCCATCTTCGGACCTTCGCGCAGAAGGTCCGGGATGGTCCGGGCGCCGGGCCCAGGGGGTTGCTGCGTCTTGATGCAACTGCGAAGGTGGTGGAAGAAGTAAAATGGATCATCAGTTGCCCGAGGTTCACCAACAAAATATGCTGTTTGGTTTAGTTATGTTTAGTTGATGTGTCTCTCGAGGCTGGTTGCCTCTAAAGAGCCCAACCAGCTGTGTGGGTGTGGGTGTGGGCAGGTCCCTTTTTGAAAGACATTCTGTGCAACATATTACTAGTTTGTTTCTTCTTTTTGCGAGCCCGTTTTTGTGCCATGGGAACCCGAATTGCCAGCATGATCTAGCATAGCATAGAAACCTGCTAGATATCAGCTTTGTCGCTTCTTTTTTTTTGTGACTGAGAGGCCATTTTCGTGCACCTGACGTGCCCATGAGCAGCATTTGCTGCTCTTGCTTGAAGGTCTTCATCATTCAGTCCATGAGTCCAGGAACATGATTCAACGTCTTAATGCGGACCTCTATTGTTGCATGTTGGTCGCTTGGGTGAAGCGAAGACACGCTTTCGCATCAGTGTGCCCAAGGCATGCTTGACCAAACCCGCCCCTGCGAAGCGAAGGAATCTTTCCGCCCGCGACCTGGTGCTTACTTCTCGTGCGGCACATCTGGTGCAAAACGGAACCTTCGCAGATGCGGAGCTGAGATTGCTTTGAGGTAGCGGATCCATCTGTACAGGCGACTCGACTCTGCCAATCGCCACTCTAACGTCTGGAACCCTTTTCTTGACACGAGTCACACGCTTCGCGAACCGAACGAAAACTCCTGGCCTATACTACTACGATCGCGAACGGAGCGATCGGACGCGAACCCGAACGGGGCGAACCCGGCCAAGCGGCGACTCGAACGGAGCATTCGTTACGACGAACGTGGCAAGAAAAACGAGCCCGCCCGAGCCCGCCTGAGCTTGAAGACGGACTCATCGGAGACCAATTGCGTGGCCTCGGTGAGAGGTGGGGGAACATCCTGGGCGTCTCGAGCGACTGGGCCTCGTCTCTCGGTGACAAAAGCATTATATATACCTAGATCTTCAAATGAGCAGAAATAAGTGCTCGAGGTGTAAACTGCTCGTTTTGCAAAAAAGTGCTCGAGCTGCAAATGAAGAAAAGCAAAAACAGGTGCAGTTTTCCAAAGTGCGCTCGTGTGCGCTTTTTTGGGCTCGTGTGCGGAATTTTGCGCTCGAAGTGCGGCCTTGAAAAAATGCGCGGGACACACAAGAAACTGCGCGTTTTACAAAAACTGCTCGTTTATCCAGAAAGTGCTCGATTCTTAAGAAAGTGCTACGAAACGCAGGTTGAGGACTCATTTCTGCTCGTTTGAAGACCTAGGTATATATACTTGGCTTAAAACGCTTTAGGTATTAGCAACCGGTTCCCCTAAGCTCCTGATGCCGGTGACCACCAAACTTTGAATGAATCTTATGACATGACTTAGACACCAAGAGGAGGACCATGCATTTCGCGCGGGCAGTGGGCGAATGACAAGAACCTCTGAACGAACCGCCAATCTGAACAAAGGACACCTGGGGAAAGACGTGTGCATGCAACTAGGTGGTTTCAACCTCTGGCACATGCGGCGAAGCTCAGCATAGCTCAGCTGCCAACTGCCTGTGGACCCTAACGGTCGATGCAACGGTCGATGCAACAGGAGTGTAAAACCACCATGAGCCGATCCTTCGGCAAAGCCGAGGTGACGAAAGGACCTGGTCTTCCCAGGCCTTTGTGGAGCGCAAACAAAGATCGACTGAAGAGAGGGGAATGCATGCATATATGAATAACTGGGGCTACAGAATCAATTATGTCTGGGAGAATTCCTTCTATCCTACCCACGAACGTTCTACTTTACATCCCAACAATCGGAAAAAGGTTGATGCCAGTGCCAGGTCTCCATTCTCAGCATCCGTCGTATTACCGCTGGCCACCTGTCCACCTCACCTCGCGCATTTGGACCGCCTCACCAAGAGACTGCATCTGCAAGCATGGACTTGAAGAGAGGCCAATCAAAAACATCAGGATCACCTTGGTTTTCACCAGCTCAGAAACATCTCCCCTCAAGTCGCAGATGCCTCTGGCTTTCAAAGGGGCGAACCTTCGGAAGCCTCGGGTTGTCGCCCGTCGCCAGGCGTGCTGCACCCCTCAAAACCTGGAAACTCCCAGGTACGGCAGTTTTCACGGCCGGCTGTCTGTGTTTCACATGCAGTAAGTAAACACGCTCGATCGGCGTAGTAAACACCAGAAACTCCAGGATCGTTGGGAGTCTGTTTCTGGTAAGTTTGGCCGGTAGTAGCAAAGTGTGAATCCTTCCAGGGGCCGAAAAAGGGGGGAACATGGCCAAGAATGCCAGTCGGATGCACCAACATTGGCAGGCTCACATCCACCTCTCGTCCAGCATCTCTGGCATCAAGCAACTCCAACAAAAGTAAGAACCCCAAGACCAGGTCAACCTGTTTGGGGGAAAAACAGATCACATTCCAAGACCACCGTGGCTGACTTGCCATGTGGCTATTCCACATGGTGTTCTTCTTGCACGCGCCCAAGCCTCAGTCTGAAGGTTCGATCGGGTCAGCTGAAGCAGGGTTAGGCCCGGCTGGCATGTCGGATGGAGGTACCGATACGGCCAGTGAACAACTCTCATCAAGATGCTTCGTTCTGGCTTAACATCAGGGAGATTGTTGGAATGGACACCCTGCCAGGCCGGTTGTGGGAGCCCGCGATCAAGTTAGACCTTTCCGTGCCCTTGCCTGACGAGACCAAACCTGAATCACCAAGCGCTTTCGTTTATGCCACGGCAACTGCTGTGCTGGAGAATGAACAAGACTATGGCCGGATTTGGTCCTGACCAAAACCGGGACTCAATTTCTTCCAAGGCACGGGTACTGCTATTCCTTGGCTCAAAGAGGCAGCACGTGCCATGAAGCTCGTTTTGAAACATCCTGGTGCTGTCTGTATCCTGTCGCACTTATCATTGATTGTGTTTATGTCAAATTTGTGTCAGTTAATTCTGGGCGCTAAGAACTTCGAAGACCACCTCGATTTCTTGAGGAAGGTCGGTGCCACCACCAGCACCAGCCAATCACAAGACCCCAGCTATACCTAGATCTTCCAACTGTGCAAAAATTATACCGTTTCACATCTATTCATCTACAAAGCCAGCCAAGTTCGGCAGACATGTTGCATAGTTGGAAGATCTATGTGATATGTGCCCGAAACAAGGTATCCGACACCGAGGCACTCTGGGATCAAGCGCGCCAGGATGTCCAACAGTCGGAAGGCCGGCCAAGGACTACGAAGGACCAGGTGCAGCCGGGTCTCGTGCTTGAGGCTCAAAACCTGGTGCTTCAAACTGCGAACATCAGCTGGGTCAACCAGAACGCAGGGGTC